AAGATATACCCATAGCCCCTCCTCTCCCACAGACATATACACACCCTCTACAGGACGAGGTGCCACAGAGAAGAACCAAATTGTGGCCAGATTTATCAAGCGCTTGGACCGAATTGTGATTTGCATATTTATGTATTTTTTTTCCAACTGCAGCAAAAAAAAAATAATCTACCACCACAACTTAAGAAAATCTACCTTAACTTAAGGAAATCTACCAGACCGGAAACAGCAATGAGGTAAACAGTGTCATGCTCAAACCAAGACACCTGGCCTTGATCACTCAATACAGTTTTGCTGTAATAATTTTATTCCAATAGGCCCTTGATGATGGGAACCAGCTCCTTATTAATTCAGTAATTTTAGATTTTGCAACAAAATGAACACGGTGCATTCATAAATCTGGCCTGTATTGCCGGAAAGAGCAACTGACAAACAGCACACGCAACCAACATGTACAAGAGAAAATATGCATATAATGAAAGGCTAGAAATTACTATTACTATGACACAACTAACCTGCGATGCTCTTCGCTCCAATTAACATTAACATGCTACCCAGTATATAAAACCCCAATGGCAGGCTACTGAAGATACTAGTTTCACCTGCAGTCATCCAGTACCATGGGGGTCCAATTCAAGCAAGACAGAGGAGAAAAAAAACATTGGAATAGATAAATAAAGAGGATTCTTACAGCATTACATACAGATCATCAGCAAAGCTCACTCATGCATGATTGTACTGTATGTGCAGAACACTGTCATAATGTGGATCAGAGACAGGAGTTCCAGCCTTACAGTGAGTCAGAGGAACGTGGGGTATTCTGTATTAATTTACATCTCCCTCTGTGACGTTTTCAGAATGGTTCCCAAAAAAAAAGACTCACAGGCTTTTAACTTTGAAAACTGTTGACAGGTTACCAAAATTGAAATGATTTATTACCAATTTAGATGGGCTTATAATTCATATTGTCCCCCCCAAAAAATCACAAAATTAGTTGTGATCGATAGAGTATCAGTCATATCAGTTTAAAATAAAATTAGTTGTCTGATTATATTTCAGGACCCACAGTGCAGTAGTATATTAATTTGATAAAAAATATATACATATATAATATTTACCTATAAAACTACTGTTAAAATAGAATATTCCATACAACAGACCCACTTAATATTTTAATCTAAGTACAAAGTTTTTGGCAATTTCGGATATTTGACCAATAAAATACACACACCTGTTTGATATGCTGAACGACAATACTGTCTTTTATTATATTTTATATTTCTAAAATATTTAAGAAGCTTCTTCTTTTGTTTTACTTGGTCATTTTTAGTTTTTACTTAGCTATTAGATTATGTTATATACTTCATTTTGCTATTTGCATGATAATATGCCAAATAAAAACAACCAGGCTTTCACTGGAAAAAAAGCACATACACACCTGATACGTTGAATTGTACTCCCTGCATCTCTAAAACTGTAAATACTGTATGAAATTCTTTACAATTCAGACTTTGCATTAGGAGTAGAACTGATCTATCTGTCACAACACTCTTAAAGAATGTAAGAGCATGTGTAGTAGGATTTAGTGCTCTGTGCCTCAGTTACAGTGTTACATAGTGTGCATATAATCAAATAAAATAATGTAGGAAATTTTAACTATGCTATTATATCAAACCCAGAGACTGTAATACTACAGGTTTTATTTAATATAAGTCTACTCAGGTTTCCAGAACTATTCACATACAGTAATTCATAGAAGTCAAACTAAATTTACCTCATGAGAGCAGAGGATTTCACAAAAAATTGAGCCTGTCACTTCCACATATATGAGACTGTTCACATTCTACCACAATAAGAATTAATTTTATGAACAATATTTGCTCTTTCCAGACATTAATCCAAAAAGTATTTCATGAAATACTGGGAGAAACATTTGAGTTATATTATGGAAAAAGCCAGAATGCATGAAAAACTTTAGCACAGATAGAAAAATAGGACTTTTTCAGGTAACTTCTGGCCTGTGTACAAGAAGCAGATATCTGCTGTTTTTATTAGAATCACATACAGTATAGTATATAGTATAACCATTACTAGAATACAGGACTTGAAGCCTGTGATTGCTTTATAGCAATAATAGGGTTGGAAATGATAGTGTATGGAAAGAGACCATATTTGAAATGTTAAGTAATTAAAACATCAATTAAATGACTTAATCAAGAAACAAAAAAAATCACAATAGGTGTTTTGAAGACCTTACAAAAAAGTATACATTCATGACAGTATATCTTGCAATGTCTGATATTGCACTGTAACCTGTTGCCACTGTGTTTCACAGTTATTAAAACTACAAGCGCCTGTCCTTTAACTCCAAACTTCCTCTGTCAGTCCTGAAAAGTCCAGAAAACACTGAAGCACCAGAAGCTACAGCTTTAGTGCAGAACAACATTGCCACACATGCAGGAAACGCTGGATTGTTCCTGTCATGGAAATAAATTAACTGTAAACATTCTGTATTTCTGTATATTTTTCACTTTATAAACTCAATCCAAAAACTGCTTACCGTTTCCATCTGAAAGTGGCTCAGTGCTCTCCCAGTCCATGGCTTTCTGCACAGCTTTCTTCCAACGAGCGTACCGGTATTCGCTTTCTGCAACACACCAGGCATGTTGTAAGCTCCGTGGAGAACACTTTTGTTTCATTTGTTTCATTACAAAACCCATAGGATGTTTCACTGCTGCACTCAATCCAATGCACTTAATCCAATGGTGCAGAATTCAGCTGAATAAACATAAACATCATTTATTGCATTCTTAACGCATTTGACCATGCGCCATCATGAAATAATTTTCTGTCAGATTAGATTGGAATTACATGTGTGCATAATTAAGTATTCATAGGTGTACTGTAAAAACAAGACAGTCTATATCAATTGCATGATATAATTTTCAAATTTGCCCTACTCCAACTCAAACAAGTGAGGATCTCTTTTAAAGCATTGTGTAGATAAGCTCAGTAAAATTGCCCTGATAAATTATTTTATATCCGACTGGCCAATTAAAATATAAATCTTCAAAATCATTTTTAAAAGCCTCATTTTGTCACACTCTGTCTACATTTGATTCTTGTAGATGGTTAATCCGCTTATATCCAACTCCACTTTCAACTTCACGGACCTTCACCCAGCAGCCGAGGTGGCTGGGATGGAAGGAAGGGAGGTCCAGTCACTGTACCTTCAGGGTTGATCTGAGGCTCGAATCTCTCGCAGGTGACAGCGGTCAAGTCCTCCGGCACCAGGCTCCACACGCTGACCCCCTCGGCAGACCCTGCTGCCATGGCTGCCCCCAGGGCGGTGGTCTCGGGCATGGAGGGCTTCACTACAGCACACAGAAATGACCGCTTCAGAAGCTCATCACCTGAACCACTGGGTGACGCCGGCCAGGGGGAACTGGTGGTCTCCGATTAGGAGAACTACCTTACACTAAATAAGACCCAGGCCGATTGCTCATAAGGGAGCACAGACAATGGTCTGGAACAATCCTGTGTGCCTCTTACCCACGGGAATACATAGAATATCTGCCTGGAGCTGCATCAGAAGCTTATTGGCCGTCATTCCTCCATCCACCTGGAGCTGAGTGAGGGGCATCCCACTGTCCTGGTTCATCACATCCAGGATCTGCAACACAGGCCTGAGAGTCAGCGGCACAGCTAGCCTCTGCTGCAACACGCCCACATCCCATCACCAGTACATCGTCTAAACACTTCAGGCCTTGAGCCTGTCAGCGTGGGGCCTTCCTCTGAGCTCAGGAATGAATCCGTCCTCCTCTCTGAACTGATCCCAAAGCAGCTTTGCAACACTGTGACCAAAGCTGTAAAGAATACTTTACAATATATGTCTAATGCATTGGATAGATAATTTTGTCTTAAGATATATAAGCTCTATAGGCATAAAACCTTATTGCTTTTTCACATAAAGCTTCTTCAAACGTAAGTGTTTCATGAAAATTACCATTTACGTGTGTGATACTTGTCTTGACTGTCATCATCAAGATGTTTGCCCAAGAATGAATATTGTCTAAATTATTTTTTAATTTCCTTTACCGCTTCTATAGTGTTGAGCATTTGATAAATTCAGTAACTATACCAGAAGCTTTGATAAGAACTGGAAACAGCAGTGGGCCCAATATAGATCCCTGTGATGCCCTTATGCTTTGCACCACTCTTTACTACTATTCCCCTGTAACTCACACATATTGTCTTATCCTCTCACCAATGTGCTCAGTCCAGCATCTAAGCTGACCTTTTACAGAGAGGTGTAAATCAAAACAATAAATCACCACAACCACAACAGTTATGGCAGGTATGTTTTTACTATTCCATGAGACTCTTTATTTGATCACCAGCCCAACGAACAGTTAAACTGTCAATGAACATTCGTCCTGCTATTCAGAAGAGACAATCTGCTAAACCCACCTGTTCATCTGCCCCATAGTTACAGGGCAGTATCCTCTTATCTGATGTAAGGTCCAAAGGACTGTGCAAAAAATGTATATCATTTAGATTTTGCAAGCACTCTAAGTGCACCATAAAAATGACTGTATATTTAATAGAATTAGGTTTATCTCCATCTGGGAAAACACACTGAAATAGCCCCCTGAAATGGTGTTATTCTGTAAGGACTTCTGCCTGGAAGAGGGATCAGAGCTATACGCATGCTATAACATAACATTTATATAACATATAAGGTATAACCCTTTGCATCTTGACAGAAATAGAGCATAAGGAAAGCCAAGATAGAGGATGTTAAAGTTGTTCAGGTGGGGAGCTGCGTCAGTATGTGTAGGCTGCAAAGGAACAAGTTATAGTTTTCTTCCATGCTGAAAAGAGAAGAAAGAAAACGCAATGTTTCAGCTGTAGAGCCTTCTTCACCCGAAGAAGGCTCCACAGCCAAAATGCTGTGTTTTCCTTCTTCTCTTTTCAGCATGGATGAAACCTATTACTTGCTCCAAGATAGAGGATGAACACTTTTCAGCATTCTGAATAACCACACTTGCTACTGAGGCACCCTCTTAAGCAGAAGTGATGTAATGCTGAATAAGGACAAAATTACAGAGTTAAACACCACAGTTCTGTCATGAACTGTTACTTTCATATGCGTAGCACATCTGTAAAGATGTTTCTTCCCCCCTAACGCTTAAGAGAAAACAAAATCCAAAAGGCAAATTCAACTTTTTTTGCATAGCAAACTTGACAGGCTTTTGGAAATGGTATTTCCGTAAACTCCTTTTGGAAACAGCACAAAAGACAAAGAAGGGGCTCCCCTCACCTCCCGAGTCTGAAAGCAGACAGCCTCCAGAGCCGCGAAAGCAAAGTGATTCCTGTTGGTGAACTGCGTGAGGCCGCAGATGATGCTGCCGAGAGAAATCGGCTGTTAGGGTCACAGAGCAATGAGGTTAAAAAAAAGGCAAGAAGCACTTATCAAATGAAAATCATAGCTACATCGGTAGCTTTTTAAGGAGGGCAGAATGACGGTAAGTATCATATTGGCTTGAAAGACCAAAACAGAAGAAGGAACAATGGGCCCGCTGTGCTGGAGAGTACAGTATAGCACTCAGCATTGACAAGGAAACAAAACACTTGCATAACTACAGCTCATAAAGAAAATGATGTTCTTTGATCATTCAGTTGATCAAAAGATTGAAATCTGGATTATTAATTGATGAACATCTCGGGATGGACAGGAAGGTAGTTTGACTTAATTTCTCCTTTTTTATAAACAGTATCAAATCTAACATACATATACAGTTGATCCTACTATTGCTGGCCTTATTTCTGATAATGAGACTCTATACCGACAGGAGACTGACCAGGGAACAGCCTGGTGCTTTGATAATGACTTTTCACTGAAAGCATCGAAAACTAGAGAAATCATTATTGACTTGGGTTGTGTCCAGAACAAAGCTCTCCATCATCATTACTGACCATCCTATAGGGACCACTCGTTCCTTCAAACTTATGAGGACATACATAAGTGATGATTTTAAAAGCGAGATAGATCTACACAGATCATGTAGTTAAGAAGGCACAGCAGATGATCAGCAGCTTAAGAAAACCACTGAGTGTACCAGCAGCCTCTTCGTCAGCCATACAGTAATTCAAAGTGTTTTGACCGCTTCCATCACTATTTGGTATGGAGAGTTGTACAGCAACACAAAGGGAAAACTGGAAGCTGCAAAGCCACAAACACACCAGGCTGTGAACTCTCTTCCATTTCATTTCTTCACACAAGCCGTGCCTCCAATCACGCCTATAAGACTATTTCAGAGCCCTCTCATTCAGCTCATAATGTTTTTCAGCTTCTCCCATCGGGAAAACGCTTTACATCAATCCTTACAGGGTCCACCCGGTTCAACCTTAGCTTCTTACTGCCATATGAACTTTGAACTCTCCCCCTTCACCTATTTATCCTCCCGTGAGCTTCACCTTCACTGTTCTGTTTGCTATATGTACAGTTAATGTTTACTGTATGAGTGCATGTGACCGTGTTCTTCTTTTCTTTCTCCATTACAAATCTGTAGTCATTATATAATGTCGTATGCAGTGTATGTCTGCTTTATCGGTGTTCTTCTGCCACGCCGAAAGCAAACTGCACCAACTCTTGCTGTGTGGCAGATAAAGAATAAGGAATAACCTTCAAATTAAATCGTGGGCTCTCTCAGTGTGCCACATCAGC